GAAATTCTTAGGAAATTGATTTTTAGGCATTATTTTTTAAAAAATCGTAACTTTTGAAAGAAGGACTCGATTAGCACAAACTTGACTCAGATAGTAATCAAATGTAAGAAAAATTAGGATAATGGCTCTTTTGGATTTTATCGCACAGTTTCTGAATTTCTAGAATTCTTGCTCAAAAATTCCGAATTTCGGATGATCGCGTTCTTTCATTTTTATCTCTGCCACCTGAGCATGTCGGAAACTCCCCAGGGAGCTTTTGGAAACTGCATGCTTTACGCTTTCAGGCAAAATCTGAATTGCGCAAAATCGTCGTGATCGAAAGGATTATGATTTTTTGAAAATGGTGCGACAGAACTTTCGGTTCAACCTAATATATCACAGCAGGTCATGCTTATGGCATGACCTTTATGATACTTTGGCAGCACATATCGTACAACAAAGAAGGTGCCGATATTATCGACACACTCCGGCCCGGCCATGAGGACATGCAATGTAGAGAGATGTACAAATCAAAATCTACTCTATTATCAAACTGTTTCTACTTGTTTGGATGCACTAGCGGGGTTTGGTGAGTAGAGCGAGTCACGTTGACAGGGTGAATGTCCAAATTCTTGACCAGAGGCGATAGCGAAAGGCTGTAGATAGTGGAAAGTTGTATATGATGGTGTTGGCAGATAACAGATTGCAAGATGGTCGGAATATGAAGTTGCTAAGAGCTTTTCGTTCCCTTTGAGATCAGCTGCCGCAAACTCCGCTCGTGGCACCGTACTCGCCATAACCTGTCCCTGCAAAACAGTATCAGCAGTGGGAAGGACTTGCGCTCCACATAGCACTGATCGTTGTCAGTTCTCGTTTTCTGTTCCAATCCGGTTAAGTCTTCTTTGATTTTTCTTGGTTTCATCTTCTTTTCATTCAACGCCAAATTTTTTGCTTCTTCGGAACTCTGCTGCTGTTCGATCTGGACCACACTGTGAGTCGATAGATGATTTCGCTTTTTGGATATTGCTAACTCTATCATATCATCTGCCATGGTTTCTTCCAAAAGAAAGAGGAACCTTTTAACATCAAAAATGGTTTCCAGAAGTCTTATCTCTCCTTCCAACGCGTCCCAACCCTCCCCTATCACTTTTTTTGCAGCTTTGGATTTGGCTTCTTTATGGTGTCCCTTCAGTATATCAGAGTTCAGCTGCAAAGACTTCATAAGTTGGCCGAAAAATTGAAAATCGCGAATTTCGTTAAAACCTTGTCTAAGAGGGTTGTTTCGCACATTGATTACGAATATCACATTTATTTTGTACGGCATTGCAATCCGGTGGAGTTACGTACGATTACCAGAGGGTCAAAACCACGGATTTGACCAAACATCGTCAAGGAGGGTTATTTGACACGCTAAACATGAAAACCGTATTCATTTCGTACGGTAGTGCTTTTTTTCGGGTTATGGTGGGTATACGGTAGATGGCTAAAAACCTCGAATTCGCTCAAAGCTTTGTCTAGAGGGCAGTGGCGTACCCAGGATTTCGGCTCTGGGGAGGGGGGCGACAAAAAAATTTTTCTAATCGTCAGCCACGCACTCCGAAAATTTTGGGATGTTTCCCAAAATTTTTCCGGGCCCAGAAAAAGGGGAAAAATTTTTTTTAAAGGCTAATTTTAATTTTTGAAAATTTTCGAAAATTATTTCAATTATTTACAAGTAAAAACAAGTCCTCTGCACATTTTTATGACACACTAGCTGGCTTACCCGGCTCCGCCGTATCCGGACCAAACTTGGCACACATACACTTCGGGCCCCGGCGGGTGTCACAGTCCACTTTTTGTTATCGATCGATGTCGATTTTACCGATTTTTATCGATTTTTTTTGCAGAGTTCACCTACAGGGCTAGGAGTTGGCACAGGGGGGGGAAGTGAGCATGGGGATTCCGAATACAATATTAGTTTTCAGAATTATCGATTACTTTTATTGATTTCATCGATTTTTTGTAAATTTTGACATGCGAGGCTGGGATTTTGCACAGGGGGGTAATCGAGCTGATTACGAACACAATATTAGTTTTCAGGATCGTCCATTACTTTTGTCGATTTTATCGATTTTTTGAAAATTTGAGCTAGGGGGCTGGAATTTGGCATGCATGCTGATCACCCCCCTTGGGGATGATCAGCATGCTCGATTACCCCCCTCTCAGACAATCGCTGGGGGCAGGCGGGCACCGGAAAAATAGATTGCTGATATCTCGCACCCCGCTCGCGGATTTTTTGCAAAGCAATCAGAACTTTTCGGAAGACCGCTTGCTGAGTCAGCGGATTTTTGAGAGACCGCCTGTTGAATTTTTTTTCGCTCTTATATTTTGCAGATATATTGCTGAATCTCTGAGGAATCGAGAACTCAGCAAGCGGTCTTCCGAAAAGTCCTGATTGCTTTCCAAAAAATCCGCAAGCGGGGTGCGAGAGATCAGCAATCTATTTTTCCGGTGCCCGCCTGCCCCCGGCGATTGTCTGAGCTGTGCCAACTCCCAGCCCCCTAGCTCAAACTTTGCAAAAATCGATTTAATCGATAAAGTAATCGATAATCCCGAAAACCAATATTGTATTCGGAATCCCCATGCTCGATTACCCCCCTGTGCGAACTCCCAGCCCCGTAGCTCAAACTTTGCAAAAAAATCGATAAAATCGATAAAAGTAATCGATAATCCTGAAAACCAATATTGTATTCGGAATCCCCATGCTCGATTACCCCCCTATGCCAACTCCCAGCCCCGTAGCTCAAACTTTGCAAAAAAATCGATAAAAATCGATAAAATCGATATCGATCGATACGAAAAGTAGCCTATGACACCCGCCGGGGCCCGAAGTGTATGTGTGCCAAGTTTGGTCCGGATCGGTTCAGAAATGGAATTTTCTATTCGGAACATACGTACACACAGACATACAGACAGACATACAGACATACAAACAGACATTCAGCTTTATACAGGGTGTCCCAAAAAAATGTGCCTAATGTTTGATTGTTAATAACTCTCTTGTAATGAAGTGTTTCGAGAAGCTTTAGGTACCGTATTGTAGAGCGAGCTTAAACTTAGATTTACAGTATGGGAGCGAATCATCTGTCGCCCTTTATTACTGTAGGATTACGGTACGAACTTCGACAAGGATTTTAGGTCACTGGAGACTATATTTTGCCTCGGAACAAGACCAAACAAGCCGAAAACTCTTACACTACGGTAATTGGAGCCGCTGGTTTCGAACTTGAAATTCTCATTTTACTATGATGCTTCTTTCCTAAGTTATTCCCGGTAAATCGTAGTAAATCAATTCCCGGCATTTGTCAGAAAGGTAATTACACCCTCAAAAAAGCTGAAAACACTCGTAAAAAGTTGTTAAGTGAAATCAGCATGCGCGAAAACCCTTGTACACGATTTTTCAGATTTTTTGAAAAAGTTTTGTTTGGTGGTATATTTCACAATGGTTCCATATGCTGGAAGTTCTTACCGTAGCCCTACAGTAATGAAGAGCGATCGATGATTCGCTCCATACTGTAAATCTAAGTTCAGCCTCGCTCTACAATACGGTACCTAAAGCTTCTCGAAGCAATTCATTACAAGAGAGTTATTTACAATCAAACAGTAGGCACATTTTTTTGGGACACCCTGTATATAAGATTTAAGTAACCCCCCCCCCCTCGCCCCCCTCGGTACGCCACTGTCAGAGGGGCTCCTAAGCACGCTAATTACATGTATCATGCTCTTTCTGCTTGGAACATTCATGATTAGGATCGGTGTACGGTAGGTGGCTAAAGCGATAAATCTGCTCGAACCCTTGTGCAGGGATTTTATCTGACGTGCTGATCAAGTTCGCAGTGTCGCACGATAAAGCCTTTTCGTGGATTTTTGGGATCTAAATTTGGCTGAAAAGCGGAAGAGTTGCTCTTTCACGCACTGTACAGTCTTTTTCAAATGAGTAGGCGAAATATCACAAGTCGAGCGCGTTCGCACTGCCACAACAATACGGCATTGTTGCAGCGAATGAGCGTGATATCTGCAATCAGCATGCTTAAGAACCCCTTTACGCTAAGTTTTGAGCAAGTTCGGAATTCTCAGCCATCTACCATATACCCACCGTAAACCGAACACTACCGCGCAAAATGAATGTGACTGAATGACTTTCATGTTCAACTTGCCAAAACCCCCTAGAGAAGATTGTGGCAAGTCAGTGATTTTGATCCCGTACCGTAATTCTACCATAGCTCCATTAGATGGCATTATCGTTAGAAATATTTGTGAAGTTCGTACAGCATGCAGAAGAAACCCCTTTAGACGAAATTTCAGCAAAATCCTCGATTTTCATTTTTTGGGTTAACTAATCTGGAATAACGCTAACTATTCCTGTCTGTTCAATATTCAATCGCTTGCTTTGTAGGTGGCTGGAAACAGTGCAGAATGATGAATTCCAATATCTCTTCCCCCATGCGCGTGCTTTGCGTTCATTCCCAGTAACAATTTTTGCGCACTGTGATGCCCTTGACTCTGTGCTGTGGCAGCATATGTTTCTTTCTGTTCAAAATAAGTGATAATGAGGGTGGTCAGGAAGTCATTTGGATTCGGATTTGGTATCACGGTTCGCAACGTCAAGTGCTTCCACAGCCTGAATCACAGGAGATCCCGACACGAATACCCTGTGAATGGTGGCGCTGTAGTCAAAAATTGCAACGACTGCCAAATCTGTTCTGTTTGTTTCACTGGGAGTGGCGGGTGGGAGGCGGGGCTTCGATCGCTAATCAGGCCTGCATCTCTCTCGCAAGCGTGCTCTCTAATCATCGCCTAGGCTTAATTGATCGAAGCCCGCCTCCCACGCCCCACACGCAGTGAAGAATGGTGTACACATTTTGAGACGCAGTTCAAATTTTCTGATGTTCGCATGCACATTGTTAGCGAAAAGATACAGTGAGAAAGAGCATGAACATCATGAACATCACATTTTTCATTTCCTCAAACTATTTTGCAGAATGAGAGATCACCTGTTAATCCTCCTGCTCTTCATGTGCATTAACGCCAATTCGTCTTCTTGGAAAATGGGGTTTTTACGAAATGCATTGAGCAGAGTTAAGACTGTGAGCTCTACCCCAGTTCTTGCTTTGCGCTTTGTGAGGTAATTCATCTTAGTCACTGGACAAAGATCGCCTTGTTGCTATAAGAAAGGATTTTTATTCACTAAGAAGTAAGATTGCTGCAAAGCTTGCACTAAGCCCAATACAAAAAGCTGCTTTGGCTGAGAATCTGAAGGTAAAATATGGTTTATAATTTCGCTGATCACATGGGCAGAAATATGTTTTCCAGAAGCTGATCCACATACAAAAGGCTCGACTAAATGATGTTGGGAACACGATTGTCGAAGTAAACGAAAAGGCGCAGATAGGAGAATTGTTGTATCAAGGGGATATAGTCTTAACAGAGTGAACAACTTTTCTGCTCCGTTTTGCCGAGAAGTTCATGGATATAATTCAGCCAACAGGCGAAAGAGATCCTAGATGCAGCGAAAGGGAAACGGGAACGACGACAGGCGTATCGCAATGGGAAGTATCCCTATACTACTTGGCTTTTCGGAGTTTTTTATTCATTCCACGCCAATGCTAGTAAGTACATGATGATAATTGAATGCTTCCGTGATCGCTGACACTGCTAGGTGCCCGGATAAAGCGTGTTTTCAAAAAAGGTGCAATGGAATGGCAAAAGGAATCCTGCATCGATTTTATCGAAAGCCCTAAGGGTAGCATTTCCATACATTATTACTTCCACCATGCTATAAATCTATTACAGTCGAGTACATTCTCCGCCCAATGTAGTGTGCTTGCGGAGAAAATGCGCAAAAGTGCGGTAAAAATGCGTAAACAAATACCTAAAATGCTGGCAATTTGCGCACGCAAGTAGCCGGCGTTACAGCCTTACAGTCTGTACCAATCGGGATCAGGCCCGAACCGTTGGCGCAAATTGCGCGCGCAGCGCTAGGGGTTGCGTTTGTACGCACTGTCGGGAAGAGTGCAAAGAACTAAGAGAGAGCAGACAAGCTAGCCGCAAATGGCGCAAAACCCTCGCAACACCGATGCCGGCCATGCCAGATTTGGCCTGATTAGGAGTGGGACAGAACAGCCATATGCTTACGCACAAGTTTCACTCCATTTTCTCGCATTGCAAGCATATATGTTAGAGGCAGTGTCCGGGCAAGAACTCGATTTCGAGAATTTGTGCTTACCGGGCCTATTCGCTATGCTGAATCCGAAAATCCACACTGAAGAGCGCGAAAACGGCGAAAAAGGGCTTTAACGCAGGCGGAAAGTAGCAGGTGTGCGGGGTCTTCCCCACTGTGAATTCACGCTCCCTGCTTCCGAAGCGATCTTTTCGATTCCGAGTCTTTCCTCCGACGATTTCGACGTGAAGCTTTTGCACTTGGCCGGTAGCGATGTCAGCGCGGCTAGCGGAATCGAGAATCGCTCTGGAAGTTGGAAGCGCTTGTATTCACAATGGGAAAGACCCGCCCACTTGCTGATTTCCCTCCAGTTTTATAGCCCTTTTTCGTCGTTTTCGCGCTTTCCAATGCGGATTTTCGGATTCAGCATGGCGAATAGGCCCGGGTAAGCACAAAATCTCAAAATCGAATTTTTGCCCGGACACTGCCTTTAAGAGAGAAATCTATTTGACTGTAAATTTAACGATTAATGCAGAGCTCCTGCGGAGCCGACGACACTTCCAAGGAAAAAACCACCAAATTTCTTACATCAGGAACACATACCGACATAAAGATTTAACTCTGGGGCCAGTCTTCACGCGCAGTCGCTTTGGCACCCCAAGGACACAACATTGATTGCCAACTTTTTTCGGCTGAATAACTCGTCTTTTACGATGTAAATCCTCCTTACTGATATTTTGACTAAAAAGTGTTCTGGCAGTGGATTGGCAAAATCCAACAACTCAGGATTTTGACGCGGTAGGTTCCTTATCGCCCAATTATGAAAACAGTGCAATCCCGGTTGCACAGCGTGCTTCCCCTGCCGAGGAAATCGCTCTCAAACCTAAACGCGCAGGCCAATCTTACACGCATCTGGACGAGTTGGCAATTTCCTTCTCACCATTGGAGGCTGCCCGCCGCAACGCTTTAACCATTGGGTCCTGCCATGATTTAGCGTGCCTTGCTCCACTCGTCCAAATCCAGAGGGAAGGGCATTAAAAACGCTCATTTTCGCCGTTTTCAAGTCATCAAAAGTGGATTTTCGGGATCAGCGTATTGGATAACCCCAGGTAAGCGCAAATCTGACTAAGTTGAGATTTGCCGAGCCACTGCCTTTAAGCTCTAAAAAGCTACACTTTTTTTGGAGATAGTAAATAAATGATAGAATGGCACGTTGACGGTCACGTACATACGCGCGTATACACGCGCTGACTCCCGTTCAACACATTTTCGTGCATACGTACGTATGCAAGCCAGTTCTTCAGGTGTAAACAAAACGTTCTAAGGTAACTTTCATGCAGAAATAATACGGGGTTTGATTGTCATATAGAACACAGGAGATCGCGGCACTGGTTCACGAGATTAGACCGCAAATCTAGGTATTCGGCCATTTTTGATGTGTTAGAACATGCTAATTATGTTTCTTTGGAGAAGCGAAAACTCGGTATAGCTGTAGCAGTCAAGGATGAACCAGGGCAAAAACACCAACCCAACATTATAATGCGTTTCTTGAAGTGAGATTGCTTACAAGGGAAGGATACTCGGTGTCAGTGGTCTTTGAAATGAGATGATACCATCACACTTTCTTGGAACGCTGATTCCGAATCTCTTTCGTTTTTGCTAACCTTTTCTCTGAAAGAAGTTATGGAGGATTTCCGCGCCAGGCTTGGCTGCCCAAGTGAAATACGATCGGAACGTCAATGACTCGGGCACGCTGTAGTGTAGGTAGTGAGTAGTGCAATAGCCTCACAAGCTGACTCATGTGCAGGTTTGAGTCCTTTTGGGTTCTTCAGTTTTGCATTGCCTCAGTTAACTTCTTTTTGAAAGTTAGGCATTCTCGAGGTGAATGCATGCCGTTACCTTCGAAGATTCAACGAGAAGTCTTACACGAGTGTTTCTTATATTAGGTTGTAACAAAATTAATGCAGGTTTTGAATTCCAACCGCAATAAGTCATACACTTCTCATTCTTAAGTAGGTTGCAAAATACCATTCGATAGAGCAAAGCAATTTCTACAAGGTGGCAATCTTGATTTAGCAACAACTCTGATCCACCACGAGTTTCGAGCCAAAAACTAAAAAGATTCAACTGTCCGAAAAAAATTGAGAAAAATCGTAACTCAGTTCCTAAAAAACCTGCAAAAATTCTAACTTGCTCACGTAAACACTATTCACATAAGACATCTATATATGCCCTTGCCGTATTTTTTTCTCTGTTAGAAATCAGGAAAACGGAAATTTTCGTGCGTTTGCCAAAGTGATGCTGTGCCCTTTCCACATAGGTAGTTGTATACTACAGACCTATAGAAGTACTAACGGTATACAACTACTTATGTGGAAAGGGCACCGCAACACTTTGACAAATGCACGAAAATTTCCGTTTACTTGATTTCTAACAGAGAAAAAAATAAGGCAAAGGCGTATATAGATGTCTTATGTGAATAGTGTTTACATGAGCAAGTTAGAATTTTTGTAGGTTTTTTAGGAACTGAGTTACGATTTTTCTCAATTTTTCGGACAGTTGAATCTCTTTAGTTTTTGGCTCGAAACTCGTGGTGGATCAGAGTTGTTGCTAAATCAAGATTGCCACCTTGTAGAGATTGCTTTGCTCTATCGAATGGTATTTTGCAACCTACTTAGAAATGAGAAGTGTATGACTTATAGCAGTTGGAATTCAAAACCTGCATTAATTCTGTTACAACCTAATATTTATCTTAAAGACGCTTATAAAAATGAAAATGAATGGAAAATGAATGCAGTGATAGAAATCTATAATAAAATGATTGAAAAGTAGGAGTTAGAGTAAATTCACTAATCGTGATTAATGGATGATTTTAGCGGAAATATTCATTTTTCCCGATTTTCCACATTTTTTAAAGAGTGAGGGCATGCATTTACTTCGAAAATGCCTAACTTCCAAAAGGAAGCTCAATCGAAGCAATGCAAATCTGAAAAACACAAAAGGACTCGGACCTGCACCTGCCTAAACTTGTGTGCAGGGTTAAGCGTGTGATGCACTGTCGCATCGGGGGTCCTAAAGTGGACACCTAAGTTGGTGAGGGGGGTCGTAAGAGGAAGTAGATTGGCTGAAAACTGTGGGCTTAGAAGGAAATCAAAAAGCGGGTAATTAGTACTTGTTCTTTACAATAAATTTTGTAAAAAAGTAGAAATCAGTATAATAAAGATAAAAATTTTTTTAGAAAAACTCAAAAAAAAGAGAACATTTCCAGAAGCTCAAAACACTTTTGCATGTTTGATAAAAATTCTGAATGTACCGACTGGCCTAGAAATCTTGCTTCCGAAGCCTCTCTGAAGTCTTACACGACAAAAACTAATGTCTTTACCGAAGTTGACCATCAATAATTTCTAAATCTTTTTGTAATGTTTTTCACGAGCCCATACAAATGTTCTGTATTTTGGAGATGCTCTGCTAGATTTGTGCAAAATGTAATCTCATTTCGTTATCTGTGGATTTTTTATAATTTTATGTACGGCGACAAAAACTGAACTAAGGGGGTCGTATCTGGGTCGCATTTGAATTTCTCAGCAGATGGAAGCTTGCTGGCTGCAATCGTGCTGTGATACGAAGCCATCTTCCTGTTTTCTATCATGAATATTTCAGGCTGTTTCGTAACTTCACCAAATTACAAAATTTTGAGCTTGAAATCCCAGTTTTTGCTTTTTAGGATCGCACCAAAAGTTGCGAGAGCCGCATCCAGATTTCTTAATCTCATTGACCTTCGGCCTAAGGCATACCTCCCGCGATCAGTCGCGGCGCGATTTCCAGTTCGGACATAAGTTCCGAGTCCGCTGCGCCGGCGCGCCTGACTGTATGGTCCCGCCGCATTTGTGTTAGACTGACGCCGCGACGAATCGCGGGCCATTTTTGGACGTGCATACTTTCACCAACGGTATCTTCATGATGCCTTTGGAATTGAGCGATGTCGCGTCGCTGGTGCAGCACCAGCGACGGGGCATATCGCGTGAATTGCTTCTTTTTTGTGGAAAGTTTTGTATTTTTTACAGTGAATCTCATTTAGGACTGTTCCATCTCACACAATCGCTTCCTCTCTACATGAGAGAAGGTTGATCATCGAGCATTCCATACTATTAATCCTTGAAAACAACGCATGCGAAATGTATAGTATGGAATGCTTCCCATATTTATTTATTTATTTATTTAAATAAATAAATAAATAAATAAATAAATAAATAAATAAATAAATATGCACCTCACCCTTTTTGTTAGCATTTATTGTTCTCGCAATGCGCTAACTCTACTGTTCTTTTTCAAACAACAAGTAAATGATGACCAAATCTTGAATGTTTTCGCCATAATTCCTGAAGTAGAGTAGATGTGCAATCTTGGTTGCTTAAGCATGTATGTATGATCGTTCGCAGATTGGCAGACAAGAGCTTGAGCAGCACTCGTTGTTAAAATATGCCTAATCGAAGTCTTTTACAGGGCCGAAAGCATGGCATTTCTGTTACGAAGCTAACGTATCTATATGCCTACCGGCAACTGAAAGAGTGAACTCAGAACTA